TCAGTGCTTCATCTTTTGCTTGTTCCAGTGCCCTGTATCTAAGTGGACCAATCTGCACAGCAGGAAAGGAGGCTACAATGCTACCTATTACTTTGGCCACATTTCTAATAGAATCTGTTACCTTGTCTGCCAGGTCACTGCATAAGGTTACTACATTTTGAGCTTTATCTTCAGGTAATCTAACATTCGTTAGTCAATAGCATGAGCCAATAACAAATCCAAGGTGGGTTATCTGCTTACATGCTATAAGGACTGATTTGTCCCAATTAAGCACAAAGCCAAGTTCCAGCAAGGTTCTCAGAACAAATGTTACCAAAGAAATCAAATCTACTTCAGTGCCTGCTACCATTAGCATATCGTCAAGAAAACCTGTGACACTGTGTCCCATTTGATGGAAATGGGACACAGTGAAATGAAATGATCAGACAAGTAAATTGGAACAAAGAATCACTCCAAATAAATTTGATAAATTTCCTATATTCTTGGTGCACTGGAACACCATAGTAGGCATCTTTCAAGTCTATCGATGCCATAAAGCACCCTTTATTTAGCACCCTAAATCAGCTTTAGGGCAATATCAACCATCTCCATTTTAAAATGGTAGTACTCAACATTGAGGTTGAACTGTTAAAGTTCAAGATAATCCTATGGGTGCCATTTTTCTTACACACCGGGTATTTTGCTGAACAAAAATTCACCATCGTCTCCGACAGTCTTTTCCTGGACATGTTTCTCAATAAAGTTCTGGATTTCCTTATCTGTTACCAAACTTTGTTGTTGACTAAATTTAGAAATTGGCACACTACACTAAACAGGTGGATCACCATCTGTAAATTCAATTGTGTAACCTGAAATGGTCTGCAAAATTTCACTATCAGAAGTAGTATTACTCCATTTGTGAACATACTGGCTAAATCTACAAGCATAAAATTCAATGGATTTGTCCTCAGATTCAAGTGATGCAACAATATCCTGCCCAGGTAAGCCTACATTTGAGCCTATGTCGATGGGGTATGTGATCAAGTAGAAGCTGGACATGCCTTCTTAGCTTGCCACCCTCCAGATCGTCTCCCACCTGTAGCAACCCTTGGAGGAAATGGTTACAGAGCACCATATGGATGGCTATCTCTGGCTCTACGCATGGGACCGGGACCATACTGTCTGCGTGGGAGATACCCTCTGTAGTGGGGGTATTGGTAGGCTCCCCTGGTGTACGTATAGGCAGATTTGCTGGCGCGCAACTGGCTAGCTGTCTTGTGAGACTCTCCAATGTCCTTTCTCATCTTTTCTACATTCTGATTCCCACCATATAAGTAGGCATTGTGTTCTACATCAGATGAGGAGAGATTCTCATAATGCAGATACACTCTCCGTGGCGCAGACAAATGTTGTGGAAACTGACCCAGCATGGCTAGGCCCATCATGCCTACCAAAGTCAAGTCATTGGTAACATTGACACCTAGAACGACACTGTCATTCTCCTTGTTGACTTGCTTATACATACCGTCAACGATCTCCACGAGGCAACAACCCACTTTGGATACAGCAGTTTGAATGATCTTCATTCTTTCGTCAAACTGTTTGGTTTAGTGTGTCAATAATTTATGTACAAGTTTGTCACTTTCAACCTGCTGTGAAACTCAACACAATTCTCGGGGCCCTTAATCTCAGCTGGTTTCTTGCAAAACAGTTTATAATCCATGCCCTTTTGAAACATTTTGTTCACACCATCGGCTAGTGCGGCAGATACAGAGCTTCACATGTTTCTTCTGTTAGTGTCATAAACTCTGCAAGATATTCGTCAAATTTGCTCACAACGGGATCCACATTGGTGACAGTGGTACTAGCTCCCACAGCGTGATCATTGTTGTCCATGTTGTTTACAACAGTCATGACTGCGCTTTCGCACTTTGACCTTTCATGAGCATCTTGTGGTCATGGTGCTTCCACCGGATATTCTTCCATCGGGTATGAGTAATGATTATTGCCATAGTCCCATTCAGTATCATGGGGCGGATAAAAGTAGGGTGCTTGAGAGAAGGTAGGATGAGAGAGGTCATGCCCACCTTCAAATTCTTGGTGGGTTTGTTTGATGGTGTGTATGTCTTCTTTCAAATCTTCCTTGCTGTTGGCCGGTTGGCTCAATGTTTTTGCAATTTCTGTGTTACTAGGCGTAGGTTTTGTTGACGGGTTTGCCGCCAATTTTTTGCATTTAGACAGTGTATTCTTTCTGGCCGCCCCTTCTCCATGCTGGGCCTGGGAGTGACATTGTCTTTCCCATCATTTGTCTTATCCTGTTTTTGTGCACCATTGGCCGCACTTTCATCACTGTCTCCCTTCACCATTGTTGCGTAGGGAATAAATCAATTCCAAAATGATACTTCGGTGGTCTTTATCATGCACTGTCTGGTCTGTGTCTAATGTGCGTTTGTTAATTGGTTTTGCGCGGTGGAAAGGGGGGAGGAGGGGGGCCAGCCACACAGGTTCACGAGTACATGTACAGCCAGTGTTTTTCAGTTCTCTTCCTTCCAGAGGGTTTATTGTATCTGTATAGTAGTAGTCAGGCCCCGACACTGAGGCCACCTGCAAAGAGTCGGACAGGCGGTGTTGTAAATTTGTTACACAGTATACATACACAATGAATATTAAACAGTAATAACCAATTTATGCCACACTTTACTTGCAAAACAACATACATTTAACTGAATAGGCATGAAGGTAGCGCCGGCTACACAGGTCAGGGATGCAAGCAGTCTCAACCCCGCACGCCTACTAAATTTGACAATAAGCGGTCCAAGGTTCCAGGGTAACTACACCTAATCCCATACATGTAAAGTGGTTACAGTTAAATTACTGACGTCAGAAAAAAAATCCAAATCTAATCCCACAATCCAATAAATGCCGTAAGTCTTGCACATTAACTCAGGTGACGTTTTACACAGTCACAATGCATGTACATGTCTCTATTGTCAAAAATCGACATTAAAGCTCCGACATAACACTTCTTTGAACTCCAAAATCCAACAAAAGCCATCCCCATCCTTATTAAACCTGTCTATGGTAAATTGCAGTAAAGGTAGTAGGCCATCTGACCCAAAAGTTTCCACCACAATTACGTTGGTTCAATTCACATCCAGGTGTGATCCAACACGGACTATATAGAGCATTCCACGTTCTTTCCCAAAGAAAGCTTCCCAAAAAGAGACAGAAAACATGGCGAGTAAGTGCAATTCCTTGGAGCAAAAACAAATGCTTGGACAAATAGTGAAAGGCATTTTTTGTTATTTATTTTCCTTTCCTTTCTAAAGCATTTTTGTGTGCACAAAACAAGTTCAGAAAGCCCATAAACAATTATGTTTAAAAATTCCAAATTCCTCCCCCCCAAAAAAAATTCCCTCCCCTCAACCAAATGGTTCTAGATCCACCCTTAATAATGGCTAGACCACAGTGCCCTGTAGGTGGGCTACCATGTGAATCTTTATAAGGTCATGGGTCATACACTGTGGTTGGAGTGTATAGCCTTGAGTTCTTGTTATAACCAAAACACAGCTGTTAAACCGTTTGGACCACTGAAGGAATGTGACCAATTACTCAACACTTTCTTGGGTAGTCTTCACACAACACATCTAAAATGACTTAGTGCACAAGTAAAACCTCTTAATCTGTGTTGGTGAACATATACCAACTTTCCAATCTGGCATACAAAATCACGTAAAAACACTTCCAAATTCAGAGTGTGAAACTGCTTGGAATATAAATATAATTCTGGAGCTAACCTGGATATGCTAACTTGGCTTCTCTCCTACTACTGGCTACATCTGCCTCGACACAATTTAACACAGATGCCACTTGAGCTATATAAAAGAACAGAAATTTATCTTTACAAGGTGTGCAAACATCCTTAATTACAAACTAGGATATTGTTGAATCGAGTGTGCCAAACAAGGGGGTAATCAGAACAAATGGAGAAAAGAGTATGCTGTAAAATAACTTGATGTGAATGCCATGATTGGGATTGATCATAAAAACAAGCTAACAATACAAGTCCATCAACATGAGAAGTAACACAGTATATAATCTTAAGTAATCTAAATAAATTTGAAAATCAAGTTACACACAGGTAGATTACTAAGGACAGCAACTCACCCCATATGGCTACTTTGTAGACTTGAGTGTCGGGCTGTTGACCAATGGTCTGCTAGGTGGTGGTGCAGACTGAATTCTGACCCTGGCGTAGGCCCTTAAATGCCTGCTAGAGTCTCTTGATGGACATTTCCATCAAGAATATGATTGGTCACTTGCAAGTTTGACCAAAGCTTCCTCAAAGTTTGATTTACATATAAGCTTCCCCATAGGTCAAATCTTTGAAGGTTCATTGTGTAACTCTGCTAATCAGCAAGATCAGCAAATTTTCTCCCAGGTTCCAACAACTTGCAACCTCCAGTTTGATGAATCTTCCAAACAATAAAAACTGACCTTCTGTTTCTAAAAATATTTTGTCAGGATGGTGGGAAAGTTCCCCTAAAACAATGGACTGGATTAGCAAGTGGGGTAAACATCATGACCCCCACCATTGCATACCACAGATAGTTCCATTTGAGTTGCATAAGGTTGGAAAATATCCTGGGAACGAGGGGAGCAGAATAAGAAATGCAAGATAACCCACACAAATATACAATTTTCCATTTCCTGACAGTAATATACAGGGTTCCTAATATAAAATCTAAATTAGACCAAAGCCTGCCTTCCAAATTGATTGCTTGAGGTGCATGTGACTTTCATAATAACTTTTTAAAGCTCTGAAATTGGTTGCGGAAAATTATATACTTTTCCTGTTGTATAAATACAAATTCCTGAAATTTAAATGACACTATAGAGAATCATCTGATACAGCTATAATAAAGGAAATTCTTTCTCTCTTGTGGTAAATTCAAGAAGCTGCTTTAGCCATGCTTACGTATTTGTGTGTCTTGTTTTTATCTTATTTTTGGGGGGGACAGGAGAGATTTGCTGAGCCTCGAGGGATAGACTCAAGTGATATTTTTACTGCAATCGGCAATTTCGTGAAATCTTTCAAACGGGAAATGGATCTCATACTTGCTGCATCTGGGCTTGGAAGGTGAGCAAATAAAAATTTCATCTATTTTTCTGTATCATTGGACCCATCTATCAAACCACTATCATTTTATTTTCCAATGACTAGTCTTAGTTTTGCAGTCTAAAAACTGTTTCTAATTTGTGTTGATTTAATTCAAGGCAGAAATGTGTTTCCTTTTACAGCAAACGTTTCTGCCTGGTAAAAACACAAATTTATTCTGTTAATAATCTGACACTTTTTTTATATCATTCCCAAGATGAAAAATGTTGATATTATGTGATAAAAACATCATTGTTATATAATGTTTTGTTAATGGTAATACTGATATGTCAACAGATGCTATATACTTGTACACAAACATCCGAGCATGAAATTTAGGTTGAATTCATCGAGTTAGAATATGTAGCCTTGCAGGGTTTTCCCAATGGTGAGAAAAGTTGCAGAAATGTGTCATTTGTGTTGTCAACAAGTGGATGTGAGCCAAAGTGAGACTCAAGTACTACAGCACAGTCTGTTTGTCTGGGTTGATTGTAAATGAAGGTCTGAACTTGTCCGGCGAAGTTGCTAACATTTGGAGAGTTAGAACGTTTAAGGATGGGAAATGGCCATTAGGTACACATCAAAAGACCCCTTGATAACCGGGCGCGCCCGCGGACGAATTCAATGTGCAAGGTTTATGCAACTTACATTCATTTAGGCGGCATCGCGAAATTGACCAACCGTTCCGCGCCGCGGACATCCCGCGCGATCAGGAGAGCATGCCAGTCCCCGCCAAACAAAAGACCCCTTGACAACCAGGCACGCCCGCGGACGAATGCAATATGCAAGGTTCATGTAACTTACCAAGTTAAGTCATTAATATGTCCGATATTCTGCAGATTCCCGGCTCGGGAAAAAAACATTGCTACCAGGCTACTTTCGGCCTGCAATTGACCATGAAAGGAATGTCTTAATTTTGTACCAAACATAGATAACTAATAGCAGTAATATATTTCTCGTCACTACAGGGAAACAAAATTCATTGATTCTTGATCGTCAGCAAACTGATACGGGCATGCAAAATTTCTTGTTCACGCTGCCACTAGATTGCTTCAGATAGTAAAGTCGTCCGAAAACAGTCAGCGAGCGTATCCCACCAACGAAACCACCAATTTTCCCAAACAGCAGGCATGACGCGGGCACAGAATTCAATCCCTGTTTCGTGAAGTTTGTTTTACAATTCTTACTGACATTTCAAAACATGATGGATTGTGTGAACATCTGGATCAGTACATTTATGGTTTAAGTTTTCGTTCAGATTCGAATGCTTTCGTAGTTTCGTTCTTTCGCCATAAAACAATTCCATCGTACATTGAACAGCCGTTAAGTTGGAATTTTCGCATGACACGGCACGCAATCTCAGCTTTTCCAGATAGTCTGTTCCCTGTCCGAAAAACTGCACTGAATTAGCTATAGGAATCCAAGGAACACGGTAACCATGCTTGCATGCATGTTCGACCGCGTTGACGCGCCAACCAACTCAGATACTTTTTTCCGGGTATTTGATATTGTTCCATGAACATTATATTCACATCGTAGATAATTGAATATTTATTCAGAGGTGGCAGACATACTTCATTTTAGATAACAATTGATTTGACTCTGGACAGTGTAGACCTGTCTTCCGTTTGTCTCATCTCCAATCACATCAACAATGTACAGTCACATAGTACTTCAGGCCTATGTAAGAACTTTGATGGAGTGGCAGCATGACTGTACCGGCCATATGTTTTTTCCTATGACAGGCTTATATGGTTACTGAGTATGCCATCGTCCATGAGAAAATGCTTCATGTTTGGTTTCTGCAGCTTTTTTTGTTTTAATTGCTTTGTGCGTCGTGGCACAGTCGTCCCCTTGTGGGCCCTAAAACTGAAAAACACCTGTAATTATTCCACAAATGCCAAGATTCTGTTATATTTTTGTACGTTTTGAGGGGAGCACCATGGGATTTCCTTTTTAGTAGGATGAGGGTAAAAATATTAACATCGGCTTACGCCACCGTTCAATGTTATAGTTTACTGTAAATCCTTAACTTTCTACGCTTATTCAGCATTAAACCATAATTTTCAAAGAAAGTGTTTGGATATGATTGAAGTATGGACATTACACAATAGTAGTTTGTAACAATTATGATCAGCAAATCATGAAGTCATGACGCAAAGCTTTTTTACAAAATCCTGTTTAGAGCTCGGGCCAGGAAGGAGATAAATGTGGGGCAAGCATTCAGAATTCATCATCGATATTCCATTCAGGTATACTTTATAAAAAATATTCAGACCACATCATTTGAAGTTGACAAGGAATTGTATGATTTAAAATCAAACAGACACAAGGATTCTGCCTCTCAACAAAGAGGAGGTGGAAATTTACCAATGCTTCAAGCGCCATGGTTTGGTTTGGTTTGGTTCGCAGTCGGAAATGTATACTGTGGCGGAACAACTGACACTTTTTTTGTGCAGCCCAGCAGACTGGCCTGATTGGAGATAGAATTGACCTGGCCAAACCCCACAAATATATTTATTTAACCTTATGCAAGAATGGCGGCTATCCAAACGCAAGGGGGGATATCAGTTAACGAACGGTGGACTATGCCTTAGGGGCTGTTCATTTGGTGGAAGTTTACCACCGCTCTGTGATTAGGTAATTGATCCCAGTGTCAATAATGATTACAGTTTATGTTAATACAAGTGATACAGGACTGAACTAAATCTCACGGTGACCAGTGATTTGTAAGGCAATTACATGATTGCTTATTCAATGTTAGTGCTCAGTTATCCTTTAAATACAACAGCAATTAATTATATACAAAATTATCCTCACGGGGAGGTAGTCCTACGTGGTCAACTGCACCAGGAACGTGATTAATCAACCTTATCCTTAACCTACACCAAGGTAACCCACACAGCATTCAGGGTAACCCTCACAATTAACCCTCACAGTGATCAGGGTAACCCTCACGGTGATCAGGGTTACCCTCAAGTCTAAATAAATAATCTACCGATGGCTTATAACCGATAAGTCTTGACCACACAAGCAAATACAATCCTTGCAGTTATACAACACAACAGGGTAGACTTACATAACAATAATCTCTACTGCCTTACTAAGCAACACAGTTCCCAAACTGCGACAAGGTTCAAGGTGACTAACAAGCGTCACCCCCTTTAAATTATGAAATAACACAGGTGCGTTAAGAAGGCGATTATAATAGTCCTCACTAGACTGTAATGAAAACTTGCACCCAGTAAACCTCAACAAGGAAAGCAAGCTCCCAGACCAGGACTGCAACCAACCGTCGCTATGCCAACAAGCATGGAACAACGGCGCACAATCCTTCTAGTCTAAGCTCCGCTAATTCCCCAATTAACTGGTTCACATGGGTTCCCTAACCCTATAATCTACCACTTCTTAAATAAACAAGACTGTCTAACAATCCCCCAATCTTCAAAGAGATCTGATATAATCGGCAGCTCCGGCAACTGAGAACAAGCACCACACTAACCGATCGCACCAGGTACACTTGAGGTAGATCCCCAACACCAGCGGTCGTAAGTCAGATTTAAACTCAAAACTCGCAAGACAGTACAAATCCAATGTGCACCTCTGATTGGTTGCTGCGGGCATGTTTAATGCATGATTTAGATGGCCTGAATTATTAATGACCCAGACTAAACACAAGTCTGCACAGCTACCCTGTTTTGCCACAATACACATGTACATGTACGTATGCACATATACATGTGCATGTACATGCAAGTGGCCAAAGGAGCTATTCACGGATAACGGCATTTTGTTATTTGAGATTCTGGAACAACTACTTGGAATCTTGAAAATGCTATGACATTAACGTATACGTACAACTTCACCAAACGAAAGACAAGTTTGTAGGCCACCTCGCTCACAAAATCTAGTTGCATGCGCGCTGGTCTGCTCGAGAAATCAGCTTCTCTCCGGGGTTGCCTTAACATCAAGCATGAGTCCTACTAAAGATCAACATGCATCCAATCAACATTGTCAGCTGCCTTGAGCTCCCGAATCGTCAGCCGGGATGGGTCGCATACTGGTTTGCCATTTGTCAACCAATTCTTGAAACACAGGATCCATGCCACTGCCTTACAAAGACGGAGACAGCAGGATACCTATTCATAAGCTCATCAATCAGATTAGCATTATCCTTGGCATCAACAGCTCGAGAGGTTGTCTCCTGTTTCACTTCTATATCCTTGTCAAGCAGATTTGTCACTTCCGGTTCCATGGGCCACTGACTTTCGCTTTGCCAAAGGAATCTAGGTCCATTCCTCCATTTATCTGACGACAACAGGCAGTCTGCATCGAGCCCCCTGGAAGCAATTGGCCGCATTGAGATCCGTACTTACGTAATGCCATTGCTCAGGTGATAATGCCTCATGGATTGTTGTCACTTCGTTTGGTTCCTGATGTACTGCAGGACAAGCATGCTGTCTGTCCAGAATATTAATTTGCTAATATCCAGATCAGTCTCCTTCCTAAGCATGACATCCTGTCAAGCAGCAAGCACAGCCACAGACAGCTCAAGTCTTGGGATAGTCATTGCCTTCAGGGGTTCTAGACGCGACTTGCCCATAACAAAACTGCAGTGGACCTTGCCAGTCGAATTGACAAAGCTGGCAAAGGACACACATTCATACGCATTCTTGGATGCACCCGAGAAGTGATGCAGCTCACATTCTTGGACATCACCAAATCCATCGGAACCAAGCATCTGTCTATCTGAAACTTGAATAGTCATTCGAGACCGCCTTGCAACTTTATCCAATGACTCGGGTTGCACTTTCCAGGGGCTCATCCCAACCCTTGTTGGTGATCCTGCATTCACTCTGGGCTTTGGACGTAAACTGATTCCCAGGGTGTCATCTTCAGCATCCCAGTGGATTCCAAAAGCTCGGTCTGCTGTTAGTGATTCTCGGTCCAGATCTACGCCTCTAAGAGTTTTTGCTCGCTCC